ACCTGGGTGGAAATTCCACTTCAAGTAAATACACCACTCTAAGATACTTGCAGCTTCTTCACCGTCCCCTCGCTAGTCCTCGTCTAATAGATCGGTCCGACCATCCGGATAATTGCCTTATATGTCGCGAGCTAAATTTCTTTGTCTTTTCCGCTGGAGCTAGAAATTAGAGTATTTTTCTGCGCCTCTGCACATTACTGTTACTTTCAGCAACTTTTTATGCCATCCACTTTCGCAGCAATTTCGAGTAAGTACTTCTTCGCCAAGCTGATGAAAGGGGTGGCAAAGGTTTTAGATTGGTCTTAATTGTAGGTACAAAGTCGAAGAGATACCAGTTTTTTTTTATAAGATGATCACTATTCTGGCCCGAGTAGAACAGTTCAAAGGAACTCCGTCTGGTAGTGGGAGAACTTTCAAATGTAAGGTCCGATGGAAACACTGAATGGTTTAAAGTGTCAAAGGCTTTCGACAGGTACAGTAATAGGAAGACCGGTCGCGTGCAGAGATTTGATTGAGGAAATAGACTATCTGTGCTTTTATGACGTTAAGTGCCGTTGTGCTATCATACACTTTACATAAGTCATTCTAATTTGTTGCTGAGCTCAACTGGTGCGTGAATAAGGAGCTAGGACTCTTATTTGTTCGTTGATTTCCCCGTTTTAAGTAACTGTACCACTCCACAAAGTGTATCTATATTATTAGAGTGGTGAATGACAAGTTCAAAACGCGGCTGAGTTAGTAAGTCGGAAAGGTCCTTACCGATGCCGACAGCGATGAGCAACGATAGTTCGCGACATATTTGTAAAAGGTTTTAGAAATACCAGATTCAGGTATAACAACCTAGAGGTTGGTCACCTTCGTGCTATCAAGGCGATGAATATGTGATGTGTGTCGACTCTACTCTGAGGGGTGTTAAAGACAATCTTTTACACACAACTTCATCAAGTTATAATCGGAGCTTGGCAGCCCCAAAAGCGATTTTCGGTTTAGCTCCTGCTCCGATTTGTGATGTGCGTCGTGAGGTTTTGCCAACAAATGGAGGGATTGGTTGTTGGTCGAGCCAAAACTCGAACGCTGATCTTCAGCATAAAAGCATGCTAACCACTCGACCATGGCGGCTGCACCGAACTGCGAGTAGGCTGCCGAATCACAGCAAATTTCAAAACCATAAATGTGCTCGTTTGAGAAATTTTTTTTTTGAGCTATGAAAACGTTCAATAACGAGGCCTATTGTACAAAATAATATGTGGTCTCAGGCGCTATTATGTGCACAAAAACAGCAAGCTCTTATTCAACACTCCATGGGGAGTTTAAGCATTTCATAGCAGGATTTTAAGCAGTTGTTGGTATAGTACCAAGGCCAGAAAGCAGTTTCCTATTTTTCAATAAAAAGTTTAACCTCACTTTTTAAAAGCCGACGGCTTTTAATATCATATTTACACTCTAAAAGATATTCACATATATCAACTCCCTATAAAAATTTGCGCAAATAGGATGTAAAAATTAAATATTACACGGAGAATAGAAATACAAAAAGTAGAAAGGGGTTTAAATAAAAAACCAAATCGAACTTGAGTGCATTATGGCAAAAGTTAGCAGAAAAACCGGCTGAACACCCGCAAAGGCAATCACGCGTGCCGCCGCCCAAGCCCAAGCTCAGCTTGCACTCGTACGCATGATACCAAAAAACATAAACGAAAACAACAGCACAGGATAATTGTGTAGCGCACCTCTAGTTTATGTACAAACATATATATGTGTGTGTAGCTAGAATGCCAATCGTGGCATTGCGCGACGCAATGTTGCATGCAACATACCATTGTGTGCTCTCTGTCTATTTGACGCCACCAGTTACGCTGATTGCCTTTGAGCTGCACCGCATTTAACCGCCCAACTCATATACCTATTGTATATACAGATGCGTGTATGTATATGCAAAACAAATACCCACAGACATTAGCCCGCCAAAATTCAACAACAAAAAGTGATATAAAAAAAAATAAAATTTAATCATTAATAACAAAAAAACGCAAATTTTCAAAGCACAATCTGACCAGCTGATATACACAGGTATTCGATACCAAAAACAAAAGTTGACTCCAATAAAAACATGCACCCTGCTTTTTACACACACCAAACACCTCAGCACTCTGCGAACTCATCTCAAACAATTTCAAAACCTGTCGCGCTTCTGACCCGTTCTCTGATTTGGAATTGGAGCGTGTCGAAAAAATTAACAAACTTAGCGACAATCAAAAAAAAGTTACTAGGCTATACGTAGCAGCAAAAAAAAGCTGACATATCATGAGCAGCAGCAGTGGCGGCAGCGACGGCAGCATCACGTGCTGCATTTGATTTCCACCATAGCCCGGCCGCATCATCGGTAAGGCAATCATAGTAATAGTGTCGCCCTCCACGCCAACACACACACACATATATATACGCTGTAGTGAAGAGCAAAGTTCAGTATATATGTTAGTGGCGCCGTTAACCGTCAGCCGTCGGCTGCTAACTATCAACTATCTACAGTTTGGTAAAATACAACCCACATACGTACACGTTTGAAACGCTCATGGCAGTGCAAAGCAGCACATTCTGCAGCTGAGGTAGCCTCACCCTTAGCCATATCTAAGCCGCTCTCACTGATGATGATGAGAGCAAGCATTTTCTGCTTACTCATTTGTCTCACACTCATGCTGATGTGCTTTTATTTTTTCCCTTTTGCTTTTCCAATTTTATTTTCATTTTAATTTGTACACTCATTCCACACTCCTCACTCCTCACTGTTCCACTTCTCAGCCTTCAAAAATCCCTACGCTCATTTCTAATGCTCAGCTGTTGTCCACTCATTGCCCGTTGCTTATCATACATGCAATCCTTTACTCATCATCAGGCACAACGCAGCGCACATTATCAAAAAACCAAAAAAAAGGAAAAAACGAAAATGATAAACAGCCGCGCTTTGTAGAAGCAAAAAATGTAAAGGGTATTACCATCCCTCTAGAGCTGGGCTCGTCGATTCACAACAATCGACAAGCACTGTTTGTTGTCCACCAACAACCCACCGCCGGTTGCAGCAACAAAACTTAATGTTTTTTCCATACTTTTTTTACATCCGAAATCCCGACACCGACTCTAGCCACCACCGAAAAAACGGCTTATTTTTTTTTTATGCCCATTTTCCCCACTTTTTATACGATTATCACTGCCGCTGTTGCCGTCACAGCAGCAGCAGTTAGCACGCATACGCTACCATAATGCATTGGTTTTATTGTTGCTGCTGCCTGTCTGCCTTTCTGCGTTTATGAGTACTAGCCAATGTGTTTTACGAGCGCCTCCTATCAAGTCAACACTCCCCGCAGCGACCACTCGTTTAATCCTACGCTCACAACTCCAACCCCTCCACCAATAGGTTCGAATTTGCACTCACACAACGCGCCAACTTAGCTACCTTTGCCCATACTAGGAATTCTACATTGTTTGACACAAACTCTCTACGCTCACACCCGAACCCATAACCATTCGTTTACTCATTTTCTCATTCCTCGCCCACCCACAGCCATCCCAATCGATTGTCCCTACGCTAAGTGTGCTCGAAAGGCGCGCCAAACCTCATCAGCCAATTGACAAGAAAAAAAATTACACGCGCACTGAACTCAGCTGTTCCAGCGAGTTGCCGTCGACAGTCGTTTCGTCAGCCACACCAATGATACTGGCATTGACGCGCAACAACGTCGCTTACGCTGGCTGCCTGCGCGTTTCGCCCGAATTTGAGCCGACAGCAACTCACTGCGAGGCGTTGTATAAATACACAACAAGTCACACGCACATACGAGTACGTCGCGACTACTATGCCTACCCTAAGTCAACCCATGCGGGTGCACTAGCTGCGGTGGAGTGTGATGGGTGTGCACAAAAACCGGCGGCGGCGGCGCGACCTACGTTCTCGCTACGTTATGTCTGCTTTCCACAAAATGCCCAGTCATACTTGTTCTACACAATGACCGACGCTGTGTTGTTTACGCCAACACATCGACTGACAACGACGCGCCGTTCGTTACGCTCGTTCGACTGCCTGCCTGCCAGTCCAGCATGTTTGTTCGCTTTCCAAAATTCATTTAAGTGCTTTCGACTCACTTCGTCCGTCATTTTGACATTTTGCCGCTTATCGCTGTTTCTGTGTTTTTATCCAGCTATACTTACCTACCCCGACACCGCGTACGCCCGTCTGTGCTCCACGAATGCGTCATTGTACCCCACATGGCCGCATACCCGTCGCTACGTTCCAGCTTACAATGTTTACAACCACTTGGCGCGCGCCGACGACCAGCCTACTTCATTCATTGTTGCACATTTTTTCCATTTCTCTTATGCGCTTCTCATTCTTCGACGTCATACACAAACCGCCTTATCGCTACTTTTCTTTTATATCCTCCCCCTCGCGGCGTCATCAGCCGCACATACAAACTATCACAGTAGCCGCCGAAGTATTACGGAGTCCATGCACTCACACCCGACTTGTGTGCCGACAATGTTCGCCCACTCTGTGCGCATGCCCACTACGTCTGGTCGTCTCTTTCTGTTATATCCTTTCGCTTCTTCCTTTTTCTCACAGCGGTGAGGGGTTAGGTAAAGCACTTTGCATGTGGGAACGGTATGCGTCCGACTGGTACACGGTGGTTAGGGTTGGCATAGAGTTGGCGTTGAGTTGCAAGAGCTGGTGACAGTGTGGTGCGGCTGTGTCGGCGGTACATTCCGTTTTATCAAAAGTTAAAACTCAATTGCATGTTTCTGTTTTGGTCAGTCAGCAGTTGTTATCCGGTGGCGCTAGGTCTCTTGCCGTTATCAAGGAAGCGTTGTATACATGGCAAGCAGAAAACGTGCTAAAGCGGATTATGATATATTAATAAGTGTTGAAAGATAAAAAAGGAACAGAAGAAAATAAATATAATTTGGATGAAAAGTAAGAAAAGTAGAAAAAGAAACGAAGAAATAGAAAACTAAGCAAATTTATAGAAAAAAAATTAAACGAAAATTACCAAAAGGTGAACGCTAACTGTTTTCGAACAGCAGCTTGCCAAAAACAACCGTTAACCGTTAATTTGAAAAACGTGTTAACCTTTTGAAGGATTTTCCGTAAACCCTGCAGATGATTCTCAAAATACATCAGCAACACAGTGCAGACGTTTCCATTGAAGTGTTGATTCTGACAGTTAGCAGCTGAAACCGTTAAATAATACATTTTGTGCCAAACAAAAAAATAAAAATTAAAAAATAAACATAACCTTAAAAGAATTTAAATAAGCGAAAAGTCAAAGAAACTGCGTCCAACCGCCTGTGAGTGTGATTCTGTGTTGTGTGTGTCACAAACAATTTTTATTTTCTCATCTACATTGCTGTACCATATCGCCAACGCTAAGTCGTTGCTGCTGTTGATTTTTAATTTCACGGGTATTTCTGATTATCAAAAGCCGGCGTTCAACGCATAAAAAATATCCAAAATTCCGAAGAATCCGAGAAAAACACCAAAACAGTCGACACGTACAGCGTCGTCAACCGGTACCGGTGGCAGCGGTGGTGGTGGCACCACTAAAATGGCATCGAAACGAAAAGCATCGGTGCTGCTGCATAAGGTAGGTGAAGAGGAATATAACATTAAGGAATTATGGCTTCTTGTAGCAAGTATGTTTAAATAAGAATCGGGAGTTTGTTGAGAAATATAGTTTTTATTCTAAAAAAAATCCCATGAATTTGCATTCATTTTTTTATAAATGATTTTTAATATGAAAACGCGTTTTCTCAAATGCATCCTAAATGTAGGCAACATTTTCCTGTTTTTTCAAATATGATGGTACCAATCCTAAATGTAGGCTTTATTAATCCACCAGCATATATTATAACTGCTCCTATATGTAGGCAACATTTTTCTGCTTAATAATTATTATTGTATTAATCCTAAATGTATACTTGATTTTACGTAAATAAGTAAAACAAAAGCAATGAGGAACATACTCTTACAAATGAGGCGAGACGTTTTGTTTAAAATCGTGGAATGATGTTCAAAAAAATAAAATAATAAATAAAAATTAACACAAAAATAAGAAATTCATATAATATTCGTTTATAGTATCTGTTAGTGACGATAAGGATTTATAGTCATATATTTGTTTCAAATGAAAGCTCAAATGTATATGCGTATATTAATCTGAACAGTTATATACATATGTCTATTTCTAAAATAAAAAAATAAAAATTGAAATTTTTGGACAATTTGGTAAAGAATCTTACTGGAAAGGTACATTAAAAATATTTTTTCTCCTCATTTAACATTTACTAATATAGTCGTACATTTAAGTCCTGGAATTTATATTCTAAGTCGCAAAAATTGGGTAAAAAAATGGTTAAGATTTTTTGTGACTACGGATGATTTAGAATTCTCTAACCGGGAGTATAAAAAAATCGACTAAAATATTTGGCAAAAGATAGAGGAACAGGTGCTCTCAAATACGATATTTTTTTCTTAACTTATCACTAGATATATCCATATGTATATAATAAATACATATATATGGCGCATTTTAACCGCTCCAACGATTTTCAGTCGATTTTTTTCTCCTCATTTAACATTTACTAATATAGTCGTACATTTAAGTCCTGGAAATTATATTCTAAGTCGCAAAAATTGGGTAAAAAAATGGTTAAAATTTTTTGTGACTACGGACGATTTAGAATTCTCTAACCGGGAGTATAAAAAAATCGACCAAAATATTTGGCAAAAGATAGAGGAACAGGTGCTCTCAAATACGATATTTTTTCTTAACTTATCACTAGATATATCCATATGTATATAATAAATACATATATATGGCGCATTTTAACCGCTCCAACGATTTTCAGTCGAACTCCTCCTTTAACTTATTGTATGCACCTTAATGTGTTTCCAACAATCCAATAATTAGCCGCTCTGATTTTTATGTCAAAAAAACACTCGGTGTGTTCAACAATCCCTGCAGAGTGGCGACCGCAAGTGGAAAAATTAATTTCCTATAATTTTACATGTTGGTCGAAACAGGACTCCAAAACTGGCCTTCAAAATGACAGTATACAGCGCTAACCCCTTGTTTATTGTCGGCACCAATAAAGCCAACTGGTCTAAAAAGTTATATTTTCGAAAAAAAAATATATTATTAATTAATTCAATAGTCCTTTTTAATAGAATATAATTATATATTAATGGTTTTGGCGATCTTTTTTATTTTAACATCAAATTGTTTACTGGCTTGAGATTAAAATTGCAATTGTATTTAATCAATTTATGTCTTAAGCGGACTCTAATTTAAAAAAAAGAAGCCTGTTTCTTCTTTCCTCAACCTTTGCGCCACCTAGCTGTCGTAAAAAAGGCTTCGCGGCGTAAACAGTCATCGCCTGTTCTGCATTTCTATGAAAACAATTATCAAAATGGAAGAAAGTAAATTACCATTTCTAAGCTTATTGGATCGAAAGCGCATTAAATTCTTCGTTATTCCAACTTTAAAAAAATTTCATTACATCTTTTTTAATGACTTCTAATTATCTGAAAAAGATTACTTGCAATGGTGAGAAATCGAAAAATATTCTATAATATCACAAACTATAATATTTTGTATCGGAATCAACTGAGAAATAAAATTTAAATAAATATTCATTTTAAAAGCCAAAGAAAAAGGTCACAACTTTAAGTCCCGGCTCGAAGCAGACCGCTTAAATATTAAAGTTTTTTGTAATTAGTGACAATCCCTCTAAGTATGCTACATTTCTGGCTTAAAATTCGTTTTCCCTTTAATTTGTCACTTTTGCTTTTTAATACAAATAATTTGAAGCTCTTCATAATGTGCGGATCCTGATTTTATTCATTTCAGCAGGAAAGTCGATTTTTTTTTGGAAAAAGTTTAAAAAATTTATGTCGGAATGCCTAAATCTCTTATCATTATTAGTTTTTGCGATATAGTGCTAAAATTCATAAAACTTTTTAAAACAAAAAAAAAAAATAATATTCTTTATACTTTTGCGAGCTAGGTAAGCAAATAACTTAAAATTCAATAATATTTACTGTTATATTTTTTTATTTATTTATTTTATTTAGTAAAACTTACATAAAAAATATTATTATACAATATAAACTAGGGTTTGCAACGCTAGCAACATCGGCTTTCGGCTGAAACTTATATTTTTTATTTATTTATTTTTTTTTGAACACAACGGCAACTTTTTGGTCTTATCATTCAAAACACCATAATTTAATTTGAGCCACTCTTTGAGGAAATAAAGTGAAACTGTTTATTAAAAAAACACCTCAGCTCAACACACTCATCAAAAGTTCAACTTCTTAAGTGATTTCGAAACCTGTTTCAAACAAAAAAAAAAGAAACTACAGGCAACGAGTGCCCTCGTCGGAACTATAAGAAGAAATATCTTTTGGATCGATTTAGGTTAAGTTGAACCTTTATAATTTGTAATGAGAACCCAACTCATTTTCAATTAGAACCCCAACAATTTAAAGCTTATTTATTTAGTGCAAAAATTTAAAAAATCTTATTTCTGAGTTAAGAAGTATAATTTAAGTTCCCAATGACACTCAGAGGGTTAATGTATTTTTTTAAATGTTTGTTGTTGCTTTTTATCTCTAATTTATTATTTATATAAAAATTCTGGGGCAGTCATAGATACGATTAATATTTGCAAAATATTTTAAATTTTTTTTTTATTATTCTTTTTTTTTTGGACTGATTAGCTTTTGAAAGCTGTGGCAAATGAAAATTAAAAAAAGTTATGCATGGACATAAGAACAAAATATTGACTAGTGTTTTGTAACTGTTGACTAAGTAACGTTAGACTCGAGTTTAATTTTGAGTTCAACGGAAAGGTTCTTACTTTCTTTGAACGAAAATCCACTATTTAGTACCGAATTTTCATTAATATTCTCACAAAAATTTTCGTTTTTGTTTCATATCTATGGAATAATTAATAACAAAGGCACAGTGCTCTCATTTCGAACACACACACTCTCTCACAAACACCAAATAAAGCAAGCAATTTCCATCAAAACTAATGCCTAATCAATTTCGAAGCAAACGCTTCAACCCAACGCCAAAAGCAGCATGGAAAACAATAAAAAAAAAATATATATATGTACATGTGTTTATATGAAAGGCAGCACCCCAATTGCTTGCCACTCATTCATGGTTTATTGTTTTCCAGAAAACTTTTCGCCCTCTTTCCCCACAAAACATTTGCAAAGAAGGCACAACGGACGCTGTTGGTTGGTAGGAGAATGTTGGACGAACGAAAACTTGGTAATACCACACAAAAAAAAAAAAAATAAACAAATAGGAGACGAACAAGATGGTAGTAGAAAAAGCATAACTTCTTCAAAATAGAATATTTTCGTTCCCGTCCGCAAGACAAGAAACTAGGCAAACAAGAAGGAAAGCAAAATCACGCACACACACACACAGGTACGCAAAAAAAAAAAAATACAGACACATAGATACCAAGGAAAATGCTGCAGAAACTAAATCAAAAAAGTTGCAAACAAGAAAAATGAAAGTACGAAATAAAAGGTCTGTAAAGCAGGCATTGGTAAAGTGGGGAAGTGGCGACGGAAGAGGAGTGTTAGGCATGGTAGAGCGCAAAGTAGGAAGTGAAGATATGGAGGAACAAAGAAAAAAATAGAAAAAGTTAATCATTCCTTGTGAGTAATAAATCCCATTTTGCAATGTACCAAATATAATGGATGGATGGATGGATGACCCCATATAAGTAGGTAGTAGATGGACAGACAAAGTTCGTAATATCGTATGTGCTTGTATGGATATGTGTGTGTCTATGTGTAAAAGTTAGTAGTCGATGGTTGTGGTAAGGGCGTATAAAAGACCATCAAACTTTGCAAAGTATGCACCCTTTTCACACATACAAATGCAAAGACACACCTACACACCTACATATGCCGAGAAGTTGAAGCAACTAATGATACCAGCACGAACTTATACATATGTATATATGCATATACATATGAGCTAATACCCAACACTGTCCACACACACACACACAACACACACACATGTACATATATATGTATGTATATCGTAGCGCGCTTTTAGGTGCTACTCACACTTCCACCCCATCAAACGTGCAGCGTAATGGGGTTGACGGGCTGATTAGGTTGCCAATCGCCAGTTGCCAATTGGCCCGGTGAGGGGTGGTTGGCAGAGTGTAACTATGCCACCGAAATCTTTAAGTGCAACAACAAAACAGTAGTGAAACCCCATGTGAACGATACTAAGTACCTTGCGCTGCTACAGCGTTACTTTCTGTTGTTGTTTCTTCCTATTTCTTGTGGTTTCCCCCCTAACGTCTTACCGTCCACTTGCCACGTTTCTTCATTCGTAACGCCAATCTTCGACTGCCACTCCTCGACGACGCAGACGACGTACTGACGAGCGTTTTGTCGTTGACGTCCACTCTGTCGCGTCGTCATTTGGCGTGTCATTTATTTGCACCGAAAATAAGGGAATGCGTTACAGTGACGCGAGAAATGAGTTTTAGTAGCATATTAAAAAGAAAATAGTATTTAGTAGCTTTTTTTAAGTAAAAA